ATTCGGTGTTTATAAGCTTTGCAAACAATGACGCAAAAAAATATACAAATGCACAAGTAAATAATTCACACATTACATTATTTACTGCCCCAAAAAATTTTGTTACGATTTGGTAAACGTAAACCTAACCTACAAACTCTTCAATRGCGAGAAGCRCTTTCTTATAAAGAGCGTACATGTACTTTCAACGGCTTTACGTATCCCTTATTTACCAATTAAGAATAAGTACTTGATAGTCTAGTTAGGTGATAAAACTTTTGTGTTAGATAAGGTTTTGTTTCTTAGGAGTGGAAGCCTRCATGCTGTGGTGTTATGGATGGATTTCCACTTAACCAAAGAACTAACACTTTCGAATGGACTAAAGGTAAGAAATGTTTCATTTCGTGTTTTGTTTTGTTTTGTTTGGCGTAGGAGCGGACTTATTAGAGGGCGCAGAGGCCGCGGATTTCCATTTCAAATGAGCAAACAAGAAGACAGTTTCGTATGCGGTAGACTAGGCAACAAGCTTATTAGTTTTCCAATTGGTAAATTTAAACCTGCGCGAGCAGCGCTCCATTTTATGTTGGATCCACCGGCTGTCACCCCTTTTCTTTCTTCATCCGTTTTTATTTTGATGTGTTTGTTTTGCAGTAATGTGAGTATTTGTTTTAAGTTAAGAAGTGCTATCGTCAGTGTGTTGATTGCTTTCGTGTTTGTTGTTGTTTTGTAGAATGAATACGTGTCAGTTTAAAATCTAAGTTTTGTTGAAGATGAATATTGATTGTTGGTGTACAACGTGAATGTATGTGTTGGTGAGTTGTGTTTAGAGTGTTTTTGGTTATTATTGTTGTTAGGTCGAGTGTCCTTGTTGACAAATGGTTGTTTAAAGTAAATGAATTTGTTTTGTTGTTTCACAGGGTGATTGTGTGCCAACGAAGAGTCTTCAGTGGGTCCGTCATACAAAGCAGGCTGTGTACTTCTTCAGTCAACCTCGACAAGTAACATCCAGCTTTGGTTCACTTTATTACTCAACTCAATTTGAACCGTCGCAAGGAGAGATAGACTTTGAATTTACATTGAAATCATGATATTTATAACAATCGACAACATTTAATATTATCTTAATAAAATTATTAAAAGCTGATGACTAGTTTTCTTGTTCAATTTGAGACATTTTGCGAGATGATATAGAAAAAATTGCTTTCACGAATACTTGTATCAAAATATGATCTTAGCAAGGTTCCAGGGAAAGTTTTTTTATTTAATATTATTTTTGCTTATTATTTTTAACTCTTTTTAACACTAATTGGTGTGTGACGTTACGTGCGTGACCAAATGTTGTGTGACGAGTCGTGTGTTTTGGCGCGCTTTTATTATAGGGTAAACGCGCGCGCGCGCCCTTCTCTGATTAACATTCACAAATATTTATACACTTGAATCAATATAAGTTATTGGAAAAGAATTTACCGTTTGTCTCCCGCCATAGAATATGATTTCATTGTACGTTTGGTGCGTAAGGTTTGTAGTAAAAACGTAAAAAATGATTGCCTATATTTTTTCAAAAACTGTTCTGCAGGCTAAGAGACGGCGGAACTAAAGCTTATTGTAATTAACTAAAGCTGATAAGCTTCGCTCAATTACCATTTATATCATCAATCATTAATGTAGAGAACCGAATTTGTAACTTAAAAGCGAAGTCGCATTTAAAACTTTTTTTATCGGTTTGTGGATTTAAGACGTGACGGCTGACTTCCCGAAACTTAAACTTGTCAAAAGTTGAAACACTGTATTATTCCCAGCAGCCGATGTTTATCGGTAGGAAGGAGCTAGTACAGATATGGAATGGGTAAACTATTAGAATTCGCATACATTCCCTTCCCGATGAATAAATAATGCTACTCACTAGTTTTAATAGTACCAGCAGTCCTTTTCTTTTGTATATTAAGTTTATAAGTTTTATTTCAAACGGCGCCGTTTTTTATATGTGAATGACGTATGCATGGTATATTTTATAGTTTGTTTGTTCAGCTTTAATCGGCACAAAAATATATTTGTTTCTCTACGAAGAAAAAAAAAAAAAGAAAACAAAAAATATATATTGATTAATTTTAAAGAACCGATATTTGTATCACAAAGGACCAATTGCCAACTCTCTTTTCTAGATCACCAAACAAAATTACACGAAAATGAGGGAATGCTGACATGTTACCCATCTGCATAGCTGTTATTGGAAGACTTTATTCATTACTGACTGCAAAACAGATTGGTCGGGTTCAAATGGCCTCTCAGTGGCTCCTATTGCGATGAGTAAAATCGTCTGCTTAATCAAACGAAAGAAAAAAAACCTTATATGTTGAACAAAGACTTGTTCCGGTTCTTGAAGTAAGGTAAAATTGATACTTTTTACTGTTTTTGTGCATTGTTTATTATAATAGCGAAAAACAGGATGCGTGATAAATTAGAAAGTGTGTATTTTTCAGAAAGCTACAAGATGTATTTTCGGGCTTGATCACCTACGGGACTATTCTGATAGACCAAATTTCCTATCGAGGTGGTGATCCAGGGATTATATATATAAAAAATGAAAAAATTCCACGCATAATATTTTCAATATTAGATGGTTTTTAATTTTCTTTATGACTCAGTTTGAGATTATTAACACATTGTCAAACATAATAATTACACTTGCGAKCGATAAAAATCGAAATATGAAAAGCTTCCAGATACAGTCCTTCAAAATAAAAAAGCAATAAAAAAGACGAGACAGTCTCTTCTCAACCTCACCACACACTTTATAAAATTATAAAATTTGGTGAATTCAGTTTTAGGAGAATTATCTTCTCCAACTTGGTTGGACGGATTTCTCTTACAAATTTTTATGATTTTTCGCTGTTCTTTTCAAGGTTATAATGGTTTTTCACTAACTGCGCGCGTTTGAATCGAATAGTGGGCTGTAAAACCATGGAATATCCTATCCACTATGGATGACTGTCGGATCTTGGTACAATATATAGCGGTTAAACGGTGAAAGGTAAAAGGTGCGGTTGTAACTAATTTCAGCATCGACCATCAACTTTCCAACTGACCAATTTAAGTAATATTACTTACTTGAATTCATGGTTAGGATCGGATCTTAGTAATTGCTAATATAGTTGTGCAGGTGCAAAATAAAATTGATCAAAGTAAAGCAAACATCGCTCTTC